AAAGACAGCTAGCCTATTACCATTGATTACATTCATTTATCTTTAATAAATCTTATCCGAGTCTTTGTTTTTTTTTTTTCAAAAAAAGTTATTGAGTGAGAGGTAGGTATATTATAAGGGGTTAATTAGGAGGCTGGATGACGAGCGTTCCTACACGACCCGTTTAGGACAGGTTTAGCGACGCTTGGCATGTATTGAGTGATGTCAGAGGTCTGCTGTAAGTGAGGTAACTCACGTACCTTGAGTGTCCATTAGGAACCGATGTACTTCGGAAGAGTAACTACGTAGCATCTAGTACTAGTACTACGATTCAGACACCTGTTCATTTCGGGTATGACACTTGTCATTCAAATTCAAATAAATATAAACATGCTTGTTCAAGTGTATTTATTCCAGCCACAGTTACTGACTCCTAGGTCCAAATCATGGCCCCAACACTTGCACTCGTCCTCCTATCGCTCGTATCTTTCGTGGTAGTGCGATCCTTGCAAAAGAAGAGAGACACCAAAGGGCTTCCTTTGCCTCCTGGTCCTCCACCTCTCCCTTTTGTCGGCAATGTGCTCGGAGTTGACCCAGATCACCCATGGCTGGCGTACTCAAAATGGGGAACTGAGTATGGTGCGTAGAACCACCAACCTGTGGATGTGGATGTGCTGAATTGCGCCACAGGAGAACTCGTTTACACTCGACTCTTCAGTCAGGATGTCATAATCATCAACTCTGAACGAGTTGCGCATGACTTGCTCGACCGTCGTTCACATAATTATTCCACGAGACCCCCAGGGGTCATACGCGTTCTTGACTTGTGAGTCCCTTCTATCAGTCTATGTGCTTATTATTCATCCAGTCTTAGTTTTGGTGTCGAGTTCTCCTCTATCTTTCTACCTTACTCAGACAGATGGAGACTTCGTTGGTATACCCCTTCCAGTTCTCTTATCGCGCTTATAATGTGTTTACAGACAGGCGAATCTTCCATCAGGCATTCCGTTTAGAAGCAGCGCCATCCTTCCGTCCGATCCAAATGCGCAATGCACACAATCTGATATTAAACTTACTGGCCTATCCGGAGGTCTATGGAACCCATTTCCACACGTTAGTAATCTCTCCTTTCACGTATCATGCGGCTAAACCATACTTGTTACATAGCTTCAGCACGTCTGTTATCATGTCAATCACGTATGATTATTCTACAGCGGCCCTCGATGATCCCTTTATTGCGCTTGTCGAGCGTTCACTTGAGATATCTGTAAGAGAACTCAGGCCTGAGGTCGCTGCTGTTGTAGGAGAATTCCCGATATGTGCGTATTGATCTGCGGCCTCGGCTTCGCTTAGCTGTAGTTCTATTCTAATGCACTCACAGTGGAAAAACTTCCTTCTTGGTTCCCCGGAGCGAGCTTTGTAAGGGGTGCTATACTTCAGAGATCCCTCGTTCCCCTGATTGTGCAAACGCCCTTTGAACACGTGAAGAAGAACATGGCAAGTGCTTAGTGCTTTTTGATCCGAGTATTACTCAGACGAGGCTGATGATTTTCAGGCCGCGGGGACGGCTGCACCGTCTATGGTGTCGGAAGCATTGAACCGTATACCAGATAAAGCAAAAGATGAAGAAGAGGTCGCTATGCTCGAGAAAGCGATCAAGGAAGCCAGTGCATCTGGTTATGCTGGTTTGTGACGAATTTGCCTTGATCACGTATGTTTTTGATGTATCTTTATCTTTGTGCTTCTAGCCGCCTCAGAAACTGTATGCTTAGGTGATTTCTATTTTAGCTATCTACTGACAAAAGGCACAGACAACGTCCACTTTACATGTCTTCTTGCTCGTGATGGTTCTATATCCTGACGTACAAGCACGTGCGCAAGCAGAGATTGATTCCGTCATTGGGGAAACCCTCGAAAGATTACCCGACTGGGATGACCGGGCTTCTATGCCCTACATCAATGCCGTTATACAGGAAACACTGAGGTGGTTCCCTGTAGTCCCTCTGGGTCAGTATACATCGTCTCGTCGAACTATAGTTGGCACGGTTATTGACTGCCTGAATTTAGGAATTGCCCATGCCACAGTCAAATGACGACGTCTACGAAGGCTACTATATTCCAAAAGGTTAGTCTACGGACTGAAAGCCCTATCCCCGTTCTAAAATTATGTGTCAAGGGGCCACCGTAATGGCGAATGCATGGTGATTCATCATATCAAGTGAACCAAGATCAAACCATAATTATTTCCTCTTATGCAGGTCTATGGCGCGCAATCCAGAGAAATATCCTAACCCGACGCGGTTCATACCCGAGCGTCACATGTCAAAAGCAGTCTCCGAAGAGTCGTCAACGAATCGCCGTGATGACATTTCCTTTGCTTTTGGATTTGGAAGGCGTGTTTGGTACGAAGTTTGAAGTTTTGCGGATAGACAGTTTTGCCTAACCTTTTGGCAGCGTCGGACGATACGTTGCGGATGCTTCCTTATTCGCTGCAATTGTAAATATTCTAGCTGTTTTTCGGGTGGAACGTGTACCAGGATGGAATGTCGGGCCTGATGCTGAAGGAGTGAAATGGAGTGCAGGCGTAACGACGTGAGTCATCCTCGAGGTCCTTCGCAGTTTATCTGAGCCAGCCAATGCAGACACCCTGTATTCCCATGTACATTTATTCCTCGCCACACGAAGGAAAAGGTATCACAGTCGGTGAAAGCGCAATCTTAAGAGCTGTACGTATGACCTAGACCATGGGTCTGGGGTGAAATCGTGTATTACCATATTTTTATCATGTCATTCACGCTTATAATTCTAGCAAATTTGTCATTCAGCCATGGGAAGTAGAAAAAACAATAGACATAACCACACGATGAATTGTCCCTGCCGACGAAGTTCGGCCCTTTCCTGTAGTCCTCGTACGATTTGATGTGATTCCTTATATTGACAACGGTTTCGTGTTGCTGCTTCAAAATCACCGGCACCTCGACGGGCATCGACCTTTTTGTAATTTCCTAGTTACCTAGGGCTCTTTGACGTGCGCAGTTGTTGCAGCTCTGCCACGATTTGTTTGGGACTTTGTTTATAGGATCCGGGCTATGGAAACCTTTCAAATTTCCACTTGTGTCGTCATCGCCACGAAATGTTCGTAAGAGGAGGGTAGGGTTGCAAACACACAACACTCAGATACCCCGTTGTCAGTCTAAACACGCACGAACCAAATTCATATTACATTCTGTCGTTCAGTCACATACGAATACTACATAGAAACGTCAATCCGATAAGAGATTTTGGCCCATAACCCCATAACCCACTAGCCAGGACTTAAATTAGACCACTTCTGTCTTTGGAGGCAGGGCAGTCCTACCGGTCCTGAAGGTCATTCAGGAGACGGAGGATGTAGAGGACTGTGAAAGCGATGATCAGTAAACACAAATCTCATGCAGGCCCGCCGAGATGACGTACAAAGGTTGATAAAGCTAGAAAGCGAGCGTTTCGTCAGCTAGGGAAGGTGCCTACGTCAAAGCACTTACTCAAGGTACAGACTGATGGAGCCCATGATGAACTCATCGGGTGAAAGACGCTTGTTGATGTTATACGTGTCGTACACGATGTAGCCGCTGAAGATAAGGCATCCACCAATTGCAAATATGATGTCCATCGTGGTGCCAAAGGGGATAAAGATACCGACCATACCGGTCACGACTGCGGAAGGCGTTAATTTCAAGTCTAGATATGAAGTGTGACGCATACGCAAGGCAACCACACCGCCAAAGAGCCAAGGGCCGAGACCCGAGAAGTCATACTGAATAGATTATCAGAATCGAGTAGCATTAGATCAGTCTGAGCATACCTTCGATTGGAAAGTGAACAGAGTCAACCCAAAGAATACACCGAGCGTGATCAGTCTGACAAATTATTCAGCCTTGAGTAGAACAAAAAGATCGATCGGAGCATACAGTGCTTGCAGAACAATGATGTTATCAAAAAACGCAGTTACGACGCCAAGTGTGAATGCTTCCATTACCGTGAAGGTGGACAGCAGTACCAGGTTAAGGGGATGGCTATGACGTTTCCAGTACAGCAATCCAAGGTTGATTAGGGTACCAAAAAGGGGGACATAAAATGACCAGGTGCTGAGAAGCATGATAAGTAACCCAGCAGTGTCATTTTAAAGCATGAGGACACACTGTGTTGTGACCCAAGTTATAGCCTCAAATGACTGGGAGATTCCGCCGGCGACAACACAAGTGGCGAGCTGGAGATGAACGTGAGTATATGCTCGGAAACCAATGCAAAGCACCCCGTACGATCTGACAGACTGCAGTAGGTAGCTTGATGAGCAAAATATACAGCGGAAGAGACACGTGCACGTACACAGAATAGTGTAAACCTTGCGAACAAATGCGCTTCGAACGTCCGGAGAGCTTTCGGAGACGGTAACGCCGTACTGGCAAAAGGAGTATCAGAGGAGCCACACAACACATAGTTTCTCGGAAAAGATACCTTGAAGTCGTCAGGAAGGTCGCCTTGTTGGGGCTGATCATAGATCCCACCCCCCGGGGACCTGGAGCGACCGAGCAATGGCGAATGCACATTGTCGTCAGGAACAGAGGTAGGCTTGTTAGACGAGCCCGACGGTAAGTACGATGGTGGTGGAACTGGGTACTGGCTTGAACTCATTGTGGCAAGAGATAATGGTGTGAAGCAACCGCTGCGGCAGAGGTTGATGAACTCAAGTTTCATATGAACACCCAAACCTTGCTGAATAATACGATGTGGCTGTGCATGGCATCGGTTTCAAGCTGCGTTCATTGAACTTCATTCACTAGCACTCGTGGCAGTAGTTATGCTCGTGGCGGATGGCAAGTGGCAGACACAATAGATTTGGTCATTTAATATATTATCCGGCTAGACAATGCAGTGATATTCGATGATACAGCCCAATGACACATTTCACCAGATCCTCCGAATTTCCCTCCTGTGCTTGAAGCTTCTGACCGCTCCACTGAAACATTCTTCGAAACGTGTCAGGCGTGGGCAGCTTGAGGAGGTCCTGCATCATCAGAAATTCTTGCAGGACCGGGAGCGGCTGCGGGCGTGTTGGTCGGGCTGGGAGCAGGGTCAGGTTGAGAGTGTGCCACAGCTTCCCCTGCAGGGGCACTTCCGGAACCGTAGTCTGCGTTCTTGATCGTCCGCTCCATGAACACTCCTCGTCCGCTCTTCTTCTCCCTTCTAACGATCGACGACTTTTGTTTTTCATGCGGCTCGGCTAGATGATCGGACCCTGGCGCAGCATGATTAAGAACGATCCGTTGTTCACCCTCGCCAACCTTCTTTCCTTGGTATAGTCTGTTGTGTTGACGGGAAGGATGTGATACGTGGGGGATGCCTGCGGCATCTGGGAAGGCACTGCGTACCGCGAGGTTGGAGTTAGGCATGGCATGGACGGTGTGGATGGTGGCCGTGGCGAGGGCAGTGGCAAGAATGAATGCACGCATGGTTTGATGAAAACGAGGGTGAAAGATTATAATAGTGGAGCTCGTAGGTGACCGTTGAAGACAAGATTGGGGTGGGTAGAAAGGTCTAGGCTGTCCGATTTTATTCTCCCAGCCGAGAGGCTGACAGGCATTGGCATCAACGAGGCTGACATTTCTGGCCGAGCAGTGGTCAGCCGCACCCTGTGCATATTGTTTCTCATATCTATCATCTAACTCGGCGCGGAAGTTAGGAATAGGTTACCGACGACCTGGCACTGTGGACAGGCCACCGAGTAGTGGGTGTTCATACAAGTCCGTGGGCTCCCAGCAGTATGCTGCGGTACAAATAGCTTCTGAGGCTAATGGAACCCCGGATATCATGCCCTTGCCGAACGGGGACATGCATTCCGGATCAGTTACAAGCTCCGCATTTTCTAAGCTGCGGTACACGTAGCTTCTGAGGCTAATGGAACCCCCGGATATGACCCCTTGCCGGACGGGGACATGCATTCCGGATCAGTTACAAGCTCTGCGTTTTCAGCAGTAGGCTGCGGTACAAGTAGCTTCTGAGGCTAACGGAACCCCGGATATCACGCCCTTGCCAGACGGGGACGTGCATTCCGGATCAGTCACAAGCTCTGCGTTTTCACCTCCACTGCTGAAAACGCAGAGCTTTTAATTGATTCCTGACTTGTCCTCAATTAGAAGCGTTCCTCTACCCTGTCAACAATATGCGTCACATGGACCAATGTGCCGACTGCACTAGAATGTCGAAGAGATGAAACCGTCGGATTACCGAGGGTGGAAGTGTGAAGAAAGTACCCTGAAGACAAGGATAAACCTGATACTGGTGTTTGTCACGAATAAACATAGCGCCAGTGCGTAGGCAAGTGCTTATCTGCACAGTGAAGTCCTAGGGGTGCAAAAGGCCGCAACATGCAGGTAGGTGGTGTTGTGCAACCGACCATTGTGCAGCTGGCGCTTCGCTCCGACTGTGGGACAGGGAGAGCGGCGCCCAGATCAGCAACGGCCTGTGTGACGAGAGATGCGTAGGCAATGCGTCTACGAGATGTTCATTCTCAGTGTCACGAATGTGAGGCGCTCGACTCGGGGTAAGGATGAGTTTGAGAACTGAAACAGAATCATGTGGCCAATTCAAAGCTTTAGAACACACCTTGGCACGCCTCTCACAATAATACGCATACTGACTGCTTCAGACCATCACATTGCCCTGGAGATACGTGTGTCATAAATTTCGAAAATAGACAAACGGTTGGAACATGCAGTGATCTGTTGCATATTCGTCACGACCATCAGTCAAGGTATCAAACAAAGTACAAGAACATGCGGATGACGCCAGTTGTGGGACCTGAGGCCCGAGCGCTTCATCAACAAATTACCCAATGAAACGATTGTGTTAACGCATGGGAATACGAAAATAATTTGAACAAGTACCTTCCTTGTCCGTATATCATTTACAAGAGCGGAACTTCATCGATGCATCTGCATTAAGTAATTTTGAACGTGAGAGGATGATCCAGGCGCTTCTTCTACATAGGAAAAACCAGATGCTTGAGCAACGACTAAACCCGTAACCAATCGCCTTCCAACCACCATTTAAGTGTGAAGGGAACATCGTGTATGTTCTCACTTCACCCTTCGCGAAAATAAAGCCGCTGGCGACAGACAGAACCAACCCAGCGATTTGTATCCCCAAAGCCGTCCTGTCGGCCAAGACCAAAGACTTGTGAGTAGACTTTGTCGTTAGCAATGCCTCATGTGTTTCTATTGACCAAAAAGAATATAGGCTCGTCAATTCACCAACGATCATTGTCCTGGCAAGAAATCTGGTCCACATTCAAAAGCTGCTCTCGCATCGCATACATAGTCCATGATCTGAATCAGGTGAAAACATAATGAACAGTCCCAGATCAACTTCCATCTCTGGGCCGCGTCATTATGCTGAATCGCCAAGGACGCAGGATGCTGAAGTATTGCCCTGCCAGCTAATGGTTCTCCACGGTCATGTAAAGGATGTTGTGCACTTCCGAGTTCCTAGCGGACAGCGCATTATAACCGGTTCAGACGATGGCACGATCCGAGTATGGGACCTAGAGAACGGCGCAGAGATAGGTGACAGGTGGCCAGTTGACGATTATAGGATATCAGTGACAAGCTTGGCATTGTCCCCAAACGGCATTACTCTTGCGAGTGGGTACAAAAATGGGTTAGTGAGATCGTGGGACATTAGGACGGGGAAGGTCATCGTCGAATGGACAGGTCACACTGACAAAGTACGGTCGATATGCTGGAGTCCAGATGGTGAGCGAGTGGCGAGCGGATCCAACGATGGGACAGTACGAATGTGGTATGGCCAGAGCGGAAAACCCGTGCTGGGTCTCAATCCAATGATGAATTCGGAATACAAAGATGTGTATACAGTGGCATATTCACCAGATGGGACGAGGATTGCGGTGGGAGGAGAAGAAAAGAACGCATTAAATATTTGGGATGCCAAGACGGGCGAGCTGCTCTCCACAGTCGAGTTCCAGGAAGAGCGTTCTTTCATAATTACTGGTGGCTCGGAGGAATCTGAACTTGGTTGTATCGGTCAACCAGTTTTCAGCTTGGTTTGGTCGTCGGATGGAAAGAAGCTTATTTGCGGATTCCAATGTGGCTGGATCAGGGTATTCGACACCGCCACATGGCAGGAGATCGCCATCATCAATTTGGGTCGGACCTTAACAACCCAGGGAGGCCACGGCAGGTGCAGCAAGCGCGGCGGCGCAGAGTCAAGTCCTGTTGTCGTCATCGACAAACCTCCATGGTGGGCACGTCTCGTACTTTTATCTGCTGTGCATCTGCACAATACCCCAATAGACAATAGTGGCGCCGAGACCAGTGTCTGCTATATATAAGCATTTATATAGAGCTAGACGGCGTCAGTTGCTGTATAATAGACTCGCGAGAATACTCTCATGTATGTCCTCGTTTTTCATCAGTCGCTTCTGCCTCAGAGTTTTATCGTCACAGTATCCCTCTGCGAGCCGCTCCCGCCGTGCTCTTGCCCCCTCGGTTCTTATTCATGTTCTGATTATTTTGGTTGAGGTTGATTTGTGTATCTTCATTTCCTGTCTTTCTTCTGAATTGTGTCCACCAGGCTTGGTATCCGGTCTCGACAATAACACCGATTGTCCGCTTACTTGATAAAATACTTGCAATCGGCACCCCACAGAAGTCGGCACTTTCACAAAACTCGTATTTCTAGCTACTTAAACACAAAATTCTTAACATCTGTATCATTCTCTCTCTAATACAACTCATTACGAGGTTGAACGACCACGATTAAAGCAGAATTGAGTGAGATAGTCGAAAGTGCTGAAGTCACGCAGAAATGTCACCTGCCGATACATGCCATGACGGAGTTTCAAATTGCACCCACTTTGGCAGTGCCGACTGGTGCAGCGCTGCGCGTCCGCATTCGCAAGTTTAAGTTAGCAGCGGTAGACGAGGAAAGCTGCGAGCTTCGTCAGACCCGACATATGAGCCACGCATTCAGGTTTCAATTCAGAGAATTGCAAATGGGTTATACTGCAGCAAAAGAACAGAATGTGAGTCGTGTTTCGTCATGTTACAATGCACATGGTCTCCCTATATATCCACCTCGATTTTACAACTACGGCACTAATAACGGTCGCCCTCGTACTTAGGTATATCTACTATTCAATACTATACTTGCTCATTCGAACGAATACTAATTGACCTTGCCCACTTGCTTGACTGCCGAACTGACTTTAAAATTGGCCTACGTGACATATCATGACTCACAGTGACATTTGCGTGACTGCCGACTTCTGTGGGGTGGAAGGGATAGTACTGTTTCACCGCGTGTTATCAAATTCCGCAAACCTTGAGCAGTGTATTGCGGTGACACTTGGCAGCGTATGCAAGAATACTGTTCTGATCGATGCACATATGTATAATTGGACACCCACTTTCAGCGCAAGAACAGGTGGTCTTTAAGTTCCGGCGTGACGTGGGAGCTGATTCATTTTCAAGGTCCCCGTTCACAATACGTCCAAGCGGCTAACCAACCCACTTGTACACCCATCGAAAGAACAACGATTGGGCTTTGGCGAGCGACTGTTCCTTGCGTGAAATCCAAAGTCGACTATGGAAGCATTTGTGCCGCCACCGTCCTCTAGGTCCAAATGTCAGGAAGACGCCCGCTGCTTCTATACAGAACGTTCTCTGTCAGTAAGATGAAACCTTTGAACTTAGAGATCTTATTGTTGTCTTTTCCCACAGCTCCATTCAGCGTAGTTTTTTTCTTGGCGACCACTATGTGCCCAAGTCCAGAACGTACGTACGACAGCTTCGGACAGTGCACCTTATATTTATCCCCTGTACTGTCCATTTATGGACAGTAATAGTCTTGTAACACACAGCATCTTGCCCTATGCTATGGAAGCCACAATTTGAAGATCCTCTTATCATGTCTAATAGGCGCTGCAGACACCTTCATATAGAGCTGGCGTTCCCTTTGATGATGAGTCCCGCCCTAATTAAACCCACCAAGCATGTGTTCTGTAGTTGTGCCAGTGCCATCGAGATCACCATCGAGCTCAAGCTTTATGCTTGATGGTGATACTGTACCACTCCCAGAAGGGGTACCTAACTGTGACTGGGAGGGTTTTTTTCGGCGGCGAGCAACAGTTCAGTCGGATTCAGACGACGAACACATACCTGAGCCACTACTCACCCCGTATCCGTATTCAGTCACCCCGTATCCGGCATCAGTTGAACACATTATCTCACATCACCCGCCAACTCCTGACTCCCCTTTCATCCCAGAGCCTCCGCAGGGTCCATGGGACGGCTGGCTTCCCCCATTAGTTTCGCCAGTTTACCAACATCACCAACATCAATATATTTCGCATAGGTATTCTGAGGAAGGAGGGGACCATTTTGTTCGTCGGTGGCAAAAATGGTGAGTTTGTTTTTGCTTACGTTGGGCGCTGGCTTGCTCAATGAGTTACGGTGCACAAGGGATCAGTATGGCAAGCTGTGGATACCGGATAGGCACAGGTTCCGGTCGCCTTCGCCTATAAGCATTCTAGGAATCGAAGACTATTTCTACCTCAATGTCCGCTCCATGAACGGAGAAGGCAAGTTGTCATATCAACAATACATTGCATAGCATACATACTGAACAAGCTTATAGGGAAAAAGTCGCTTGTTTTTAGCGACTTCAGTCCAATCTTAGATTCTTTTCTTCGGTAAGTTGTCTTGGAATGGATCGCGCGGGTGATGCTAAGATTGATTCCTGATCCTCAGTACTGTATTTGTCGACATCGATTACGACGGGATTCTTGAGTACCCTATTCATCGACTGTCCCAAAAGATGAAGGTACTTCGGTCCAGGTTGGACGATGCCTGCACCCTCTTGGACGCAGAACAAGTTCCAGACGACCTAGTAACCAAGGCCGAGGTTTTCGGCTTCAACGCGTCTACTGGATGTTAGTTTCTCATTGCTTCTCGCGCCTAATACCCCTGATCATTATGGACAGGCGAAGGGGCCGCTGAGTTCGTTGCTGTTCTTGTGACACATTTAGAAAAACTGTTGGAGGTCGTGGAGACGGAAAGCAAGCAGACGTATGTGTGTTTCAGTCCATCATACTTGTCACTTATCGTCTATGATCATACAGGGTCAAGCAACTCGAGGAACTATTGTCTAACAATCAGATTTCATTCGAACTTCTGGAGTATTACTACGAGGAAGGAGAGCGTTACATCTTTAATGATGGGCTTTTACAGAATGGTTTAGATGTCGAGAGACCTATTGTGGGAACTATTTCCTTCACTTATTTATCGTCACTACTGATATTCTGCGCGAAAGATCTTGGTAGTCTTGAAGAGTGCCCGCTTCCGTGATGACAGACAGTGAGTAGGAACTTCTCCGAATATGGCTGTGACAACTCTGATTCGACCTGTTCAGGGCATTGCTCGTCAAGTTGGAGCATCTTGAGTGGGATGGCGTTCGTTTCGAGAAGCGCACCATGTCATTGGATCTTTTTGAATTCCAGGTACTGTGGTAACTCTCCAATATCAAACTACCGTTTGTTCACTTACCGATTTTAGGGAACTCGAGCCTTCTCGTCCCTATTTCTTCAACCTGTCACAGACGAAGCCCTTGCTAAAGTGACTGGTCAGACCTTAATCTTTGAGTTTTTCGTTAAGATATTGAATCATCAATATAGAGCGCGGAAGGCATTATCTTTCTTACAGCAGAGTTTGTTGTGCAGAGTGTAAGTGCCGCATCACTCCAGCTTCTCACCACACTGATTTCATACGTTCTTCATTTACAGATTATGATGACACACCGATGCGGTCGGTTTTCAGCGGCAACTCAACTCCACGCATCAGGAGGGTGATGGTTGACCCAGTTGGATTCCACCGCGCCTTGCAAGGCTACAACCCAAATCTGTGAGTAATCTACTTGTTCTCTGGGTCGACGCTGAGGAGTGTCATAGACGTGTACCACTTCCCGACGATGCGCAGGAGCATATCGCACGCCTTCCATACTGGATTGGTGGGTATGATCTTGAAGTGAATGTGAGCAATTTGCAACACATATTTCGCCGGTTTCTCAAGCGAATTGTGATATCCAGCAATGGCGAACATTCAATATATGGGATTTGAAGCCAGTCAAGTATGATCAAGAGGCGTGGAGCAAACTCATTATGGACGAAGATACCAAGGTGTGTGCGATCATGTTGGTTTCTTAGCTTTGTTTATCTTCTCTTGCAGGATCTTATACGAGCACTAGTGGATAATGCTGGCTGTTCTGTCGGCGGTCTAAAGCCAGCGCAGTTCAACAAAGGACAGGTGTGTTGTGTGTTTTGAATTGCCGTCGTTTTTTGTCTCTCATCCAAGATGTCATAGACGATACTTCTCAAGGGACCACCAGGAACGGGCAGAATGACAACTGTCCATGCTGTCTGCAATCTCCTCAAAAGACCTCTGCTTACTATTACTATCACTTCTCATGACTTCTTATACGACCTTATGAATCTGGTACTAGATATTGCTCTGCGTGTATCGGTTCGTACAACTCACAACTTTCGATGATTCTTTGACGAGACCTTGTTATCGTTTAGTTTGCAGCGACCTGGAATGCGGTGATTGTGGTGAAAGACGCCGATGTACGTACTCCCGTTGACACCCTGCCCTGTGTGATTTATCACGTCATCCAGCGTTTCCTGGAATTGAAAGATCAAGGCCATAGGGTATGTTTTGGTTGTTGGACTCTCACTACTTGAGCCTTGATTTCTCGTCAGGATCGCGTCAGGACTGTTCTCCGTCAATTTGAGTTGGACGATTGTATCTCCTTCTGGGTATCAGGTGCATGCGACGAAGAACTCCTGACGCAATTTTCTGCTGGTGCGTAGCCCGATTGTCTGATCTGCTTCTGCTTCTGAATGCTCGCCATTGAAGTCGTCGAATTACCCGAACTGGACACTGCAGCCCGACGTCGTCTTTGGCTTGGCCATTTCGGCTTGAGTGATCCCGCTGCATTTATATGGAATAGTGAGCGCACGCTTATCAGTTCCTCCTCCGTGGATCAGAAGGAGATGGATCATTCATTACTTCTTCGTGATGTCGAGAAACTCTCACGGCATCAGTTAGATGGTAAGCCTCATATCTGCCACCGACGCAGTGTCTGACGATGCTTTCAGGGAGGATGATTGATAACATTGTACGGTCTGCGCGAGCACTGGCTGTCTCAAAGTAAACCCAACGCCATATATTATCAGGCATGCGCTAATGACCATTTTACAGTGGAGAGCATTTGTCCGTCCATCACATCAAAGTGGTCATGAAAGCACAGCGATTGGATAATCTTCCTTTATGGCGGAAACTGACCCGAATTCTGACACGTCCGGCGAAAGTTCTTCACACGTGAATTAGGCGGAAGGCTCGTTGGTTTAATGTTACTTCCAGTGATACAGAGACCTGATGTTCTTGTCTGAACTTGTTTGCTTGTAATATAGCTGTATGGCGTACGATATTAGATTGCAGACTGAATTATCTCCGAAGACACGATGGGTTACTATGTGAGTTTGAACTGGGGCAGTAGATCTTGGAAAATAATGTAGGAAGGTATGCATGGTGCCAGCCACGGCTGAACACTACACATCGTAGTTAACATGTTGGAGCGAGCATGGAGATACGGCATGGCAGAATCAGAAGCACCGGCTCAAACGAATCCTTGTCGAACTGCCTCAACAAAACGGCATCACAACTAACAGTTCACATTCTCATCTGTCAGTAGAATGAGATAGACGTGCTTTATTGCCTGCAAATATGTGGAAGAGTTGAAGGCACCAGCTGCAAACATCGAGAAACTGGACATGTAACAACGAAGATGCATATGAAGAGCCAAACCAAGAATATCCTTATTATAGCGCATATACTGCAGCGTCTAGATGATCATGAGGTGAAAATATTCTGGCGGTAAGGGTACCCCTCGGCAAGCTCGGCAAATTCAAGCGGAGTTAAATCAACCACTCGCAGCTCACCAACATCAATATCCGTCAATGTCATCCAACGTTTTCGAATTTGTTGTGTTTACATATAAATTGACTCTAACTACAGAGGAGGATTTGAACGTTTGAACCACAAGTACAACCAACTATCCATCACGTCGTCATCATGATGCTGATTTTGGTGATAGTACAAGCGCCGAGCGTCGAATAATACAAACACTAGATCGTTACCCTAGGGCCTAACATTCCACAGGCTCTTACCAGGCTCACTCTCATCCATCCATCAAATATGACGGGCCCAGTTGGTGGCCGAAAGTTAGTTCGAATACATTTTATCGCTATCAGGTAGGTTCTTTGCATGATGTCTCAATTGACTTATGGTTGCAGTTGCTGTCGGCGTCGTGGTGGTATACAGCTGGGGTGAGTAGAGCAGTGTTCGGAACCGCTGGTATTCTCATAATATTTACAGTACAAACACTCGGACAAGAGGTAGGTCGGTGTTATCGCCGCAGCAGCCAACTCTCTGAGAATGATGTCATAGATCAAACTGACCTGGGCGAGTGACCGTCCTATATCAGGAGAAAAACAATGAATTCGAGACAGAAGTCATGCTGGTCTCTCATAACTGTGCTGTATTTGGCTGTGCGTGCCTCATGTTGTGCTATAGCGTGGTTGGCAAGTTGTGCTAACGCCCCGATATTCTAGATACACTGTATTGGAATACCATATTCTGCGTATGTGTGGAGGTGACTAAATTAACGCTGTGCCAATAGCTCATCTCTCGCAATCAGTGTGTATATGCCGGGTATATTTCATATGGGCTGTGCTCCATTCTTCTGACCAGCAGAACACAGCATTTGCACCATTTGTCTCGCTGACAGATGCAGTGAGTATTATGCGTCGCATTCCCATCCAAATGAACACACTCATTTGTAGGGGTAAGTGCAATGTCGAACTTGGCTCAAAATAATGACTACGAAGGAGTATTTGATCCTAGTATGAGGGTGATACTAATTAGCTCCGCAGTAGTGGTTGCTGCAGCATTAACACAGTGTTTTCACGATGCCCGGTGTATAAATTAGCGCTAACTAGGTGGGGAAGGTTTTTTGATGCATACAACAGGTACAGCCAGCTATCATGCAATCACTATGCCAATTGTGGCGATAGTATGAGAGCCGAGCGAGGCTGAATAGTGGTATATTTAATACGAACACTAGATCGTTACACACTCCAACATCCTCCACTCGCTCACAAGCTATCCCTCCAATATGACCGTAGTCTTGAATAATACCAGTTGGTTGTCGAATGTTTTTTCCAGCGATTGGATAGGTTCGTCGCATCAAGATGCCTAGATCTAACATTGACTTGCGGTTTCGCAGTTGCCGCCGGCGTCGTGGTGGTATACGATTGGAGTGAGCCGGACAGTGTTTGAAAACCGCTGATACCCTCATGTTATTTCCAGTGCTAACACTCGGACAAGAGGTAGGTTGGTGCTATCACCTCAGCAGTCAACTCGCTAAGAATGGTGTCATAGATCGAACTGATCTGGGTGAGTGACAGAGTTCCGTATCAGAAGAAAAACAGGAGAATATAATGAATTCTCGACAGAAGCAGCACTGGTCTCTCATGACTGTGCTATATTTGGTTGTTCGTGCCTCATGTTATGCTATAGCGTGGTTGGCAGGTTATACTAACTCCAAAATGTTTTAGACACGTTACATGGGAATACCATATTTTGTGTATGTATCGAGGCTAACAAATCAACACTATACTAATAACTCATCGACTATCTCTCACGATCAGCTTGTTTATGCTGGGTATGTTTCATATGTGCTTTGTTCTGTTCGTCTGACCCGTGGCACACATTGGCAGAAAATATACCATTTGTCTCGCTGACAGATGCGGTGAGTGTTGTACAACTATCTTACTCCTATCCAATGAATATCTGATATTCATTTGTAGGGGTGAGGAAGATTCTGATCATTTAACTTGGCTCAACATAATCACTTCATAGGTGTGAGTCGCAATGTTTGATACTAGTACGAGGATGATAACTAATTAGGTGTTTCAGGCAATATTATGAGCTATGCAAAGAATGTGACGAATGTGGTCATAACTGCCGTGTTGGACGGTGAGTTACCTAGCTGCATACCTCAGTAATATTGACTCGACTGAAACATGCTGCAGTCATCATGATTTCTCGGTTGCATGCCATGTATCAGCGATCTAGCATGATGCTCATCTTCCTTGTTATTATCTTTCTGGCTGTTAACATCCCCTGCGGAGTAATCACAGCAATCGTGCTCAAGGATACTGTAGCGAGTAAGTTTTATTTGTTGACATGAAGGACACGGCTCATTGGACAAAATCAGAGGAGGTGATATTCTCTGACACGTATATGTGCAATGATAGATTTGAAGGGGACGACCAGCTTCTGGTTGCAATGGTTTGGATGCTCAACACTATTTGGGAGGTCCTCGCACTGTGTCTTTCAGTCTGGATTGCTGTGAAACACTTTCGTGAACTGCGACAACTCGGCCCATTGACAGGATCGACCATCGGGGATTGTTTCAGAGTGCTGATAAAATCTCATGTGCTTTATTTTGCAAGGTGAGCTTGTATCATGAATGTCGTTATCTTTTTCTGCTAAAGTTCTGCACGTGCTAGCTTTGTTTGTGTCTCTTGCCTCCAGCTTGCTGATTTCTTTCCAGAGCTCAAGGTGCGCTGACCTGTCGCTGATATCTGCGTGTAAACACTGCTAATCATTTATGTAGAATTCAAATTCGATTGGAGCTCAGACACTCATTGGTTCTCTTCAAATTTTATGGAGAGTGCAGATGTTTGTGCTAGGACCACGCCTCATCCTTAGTATTCGAGAATATCACGCAAAACTTGTGGCCGACTCCAACGCAGAAACTAGCATGGCTTCAATTGTCTTCCAGGAGCGTGTAACAACTAGCAGTACTGTGTAGGGAAATGCTTGCTGAGCGGTCCGCAGGAAGGAGAAATTCGGTAGAGGATCCGTCGTGGTATTTATTTAACATATAGTCATCTTAAGTACATTTGAAAGTTTTAGGCAAACCTATTTCTTGCTGTATTGCGACTGTAGCTACCCACGTGCGCCCGTGTTTGTACCAAGTAGCGAGCTGAGATTATCCAGCATGTCTGGCAACTAACCAAGTCCGATACCAAAATACAACGAGAAATAGCCTGATGCTACAAACAAGTGGCGAGCAGATCCTGCAACGGAGTGACAACAGGAGTTTGGTATAATTGAAAAAATGCCGAAACCGTGCCAGGTCAAGACAGGGAACAAGCCTGTGGGTACGTGACGAGTCTAGTGAACGAAGAGTGCGACGGGCGGATTTGATGAAGATGCGTTTGAAATTCTGGGGTGCAGACACTGGTCAAACTGCTCCCACGAGCAAATAGTTTGGTGCTTGACAAAGTTTACATTATGGATGTAGAGCTTATTTATTATTGCGGTTGGACAATTCGGATCGGACACCTGCCCCATGATTCACCCCGAACTCCATTCTTCTCGCCACTTTGCACTTTGAAAAGCAGACAATGAAGTCCGACGAAGAGAGGATCAAGTTGAATGACCCTCATCGAGTGGTGGTTCAAGTTCACATCGAGTTCTGGCTTGCACAGTTATCCTGCAGGAAGCAAACGAGGATGAAATCATAGTCAGTATAGTAGCGACCGGATGACAGTATGTAAATGTAGTGAATAAAATCATGGTGCAGCCCTAAAATGCTTTGGTGGACCGATGCAATTAAACAGAGTGGGATGAACGAAGTGCAAAATGGTCGACATGGATTGTAGGAAATCTGGATTGTGCAAAGATCTTCAGTCGATTAACAAAGTACATGCCTAAAGTCCGATTGGCACATACGACCGCAAAGACAATGCAATCTACTACTGTTTGCGACACTTGTGCCATGATGTGCCATGTACGACATCACTCAAGTCCAGCTGTACGGCATTGTTGGCTATCACCAGCGTGTTACCTGGGGCATAAACCACTGGGTAGAAAATAGGTGGGATCCGGAGGAGAAGCCGTCCTTCGGGACCTACAATCCATCCCTCCTCATTTGGGTGGGAATGTGGTGGGGTTGCGGAATCTTGGAGAAAGGAGGAGGCAGAATGAAGGGCATGAGTCAGGTCGGGTGAGAAACATATTGTATGTGCTTCAAATGATTTGTGCTGCTGGATTAGAAATTCTAGATCCCACACCCGGACGGTCGTGTCGGATGACCCAGACACGATGTGTTTGCCATCAGGTGAGATTGTGACAGACCAAATGGATCCGGTATGCCCTCGAATAATGGCCACTGCCTCACCAGTCTTCATATCCCACACTCGCATGGTCTGGTCGGATGAGCCAGACACGATGCGATTACCATCCGAGGAGATCGCAACAGTGTTAACGTCATCAGTGTGGCCTTGAAGAGGAGAGCCCAATAGCTTGCCAGTCCCCATATCCCACACACGGATAGTCTTGTCACGTGAGCCAGATACAATGCGACGTGCATCCGGCGAGATTGCGACAGAGAGGACCCAACGAGTGTGACCTTGGAGACGGGCGCTTGATGCCTTGCCAGTCCCCATATTCCACACCT